GTATGCGACATCGCAAAAATTCTCCGCAATAACTTTTAGGCGCCTCTACCGCTGACTTCATTTTTTTTTTAATTTTATGACACGACTGCAAGACAGATCATTACCGTTGGATCCGCGCTACAACGCACCGCCTCAAAGTCGTCCTCGATTTCCACCACTCGACCATCCGACAAAACGTGACGAGGCCCGATGACGTCGGCTGCCAGAGCCAAGACCAAACCCCAAACAACCAACATCGGCCCCAGAATCCTCGCGTCCAACAACACACGGACGTAGTTCGAACTGCAGCCGGGAGAAAAAGCCCACTTCAGTCCAGATCTCGTGTTTCATTAGTTTCATCAAAAACTTCAAAATAAACTGTCACGCGTGAGATTTTTATTCATCCCCTCAGCGTCCTCCCGGCTTGGAAAGAATTGGACCGCGTTTAGCAGAATGGAACCAAGCCACATCAACTATTGTCGAATTTAAGTGGGCAATTTTATTTTCTGCAAGAGAACGTTAGTGCGGATTCCTATGAAAACTTAGAGGAATTGCTTCGTACCATGCGAAAAAATTACTGGAATTCGCACAAAAATCCGCACTACCGTTTTCATATAAAAAAGTAAATTGCCCGATTAAATTTGGCAATATAGGTGACGTGGTTTGGTTCCTTTCTGCTTAGCGCGGTCCAATTAAAATCTAGCTGGGTAATATGGAACAGCAAAGTGTTAAAGGATCGAATTCATAGCGTTCCTTAATCAGCTATTTTCCTTGGGTGGCGATTGTTCATGTTAGTAGTGTTTCATTACTTTCATCAAAAACTTTAAAATGTTACCGTTGCACATGAGATTTTTATTCATCCTCTTGGCGTCCTCCCGGCTTGAGGAGAATCGAACCGCATTTAGCAGAATGAAACCAAATCGCATCAGCTATTGCCACATTTATCTGGGCAATTTAATTTTTTACGAGAGAGCGTTGGTGCAGATTTCTATGAAAACCTAAAGGAATTTGCTTCGAACTATGCAAAAAAATCGCTAAAATCCGCAAAAGAAAGACGTACTGCATGTTAAAAATTAAATGGAGATGTTGGATATACCCTCCATTTTGGCCTCAACTGGAGAGCTTTTTGGAGCTTGGGAGTTGATTTCAGAGAAAAATAGTGGCACCATCGTGTTTCTTGCGAACTTTTACAGAAGAATCAATAGTTAAATTGCAAATTCCTCACACAAGCAACATCTCCCTTGTCCGATTTAAGTTGATAATGGCTGATGTGGCTTGGTTCCTTACTGCTTAGCGCGGTCTAATTAAAATCTAGCTGGGTTAAAATGCAATTGCAAAGTGTTCGAGGATCGAATTCATAGGCGTTTCTCAACCAGCTATTTTCCTTGGCAGGTGATTGTCCAAGTTAGCAACACTGTTTTTCACTGTTTTAATGCATTATAACTATTGATTTTAGATGAGGCAAACTGCCTCAGCTAGAATCCACTGTTTTACTACAATTTGAATTGAGGAAATTGATGTTGAAAACTTTAAAGAATCGTCACTCCCCGTAATACTTGAGCATAGCTGCCAGGACCGGTGACGTACTGTGGAGGGACTCTAAAATTAATTTTGACCGCACTTTCGCGTAGAGATGGAACATTCGTCTATGCGTTGGAATGGGTCACTAAACTATGAACGAATTTTGACTTTCAGATATATACAGTAGCGAATCTTGTAAGCTAGCAACACTGTTTTTTCTCCATTTAACTGCATTTAGAACAATTGATTCTAGGTGAGGGAAGCTGCCTCACCAAAAATCGATATGTTCAATGGATTTAAATGGAGTACCAAAAGTGCTGCCAACTCGCTGGAATCGCCACTGAATACATTTTTTCGACGGTAAATGACGTGGGATCACGATGCGCACATTAAAAACGAAAAACCTGGCTCAGAAACCGAAAACGACGCAGTTTGAGAGGCGCAACTTTTCCGAAAATTTAAAACTCGCAGCTTTCGCGCCGAATGTGTCATCCGGCACCAATCAGAAGCGAGCGCGGGATTATACGCACTGAAAAAAAAACCATATTGGATCTAGAGTCCAGACTCTTGAAAACATTGACAAGAAAAAGGACTCTTGATTCAATCAGATTTAAGCTTAAATCAAAAGGAAATCCGCTCAAATTAAGAGGCTTGGTTCTTGATTTAAGCTTAAATCTGATTGAATCAAGAGTATTTTTCTTGTCGATGCTCTTAAGAGTCGGGACTCTAGATCTGATGTGTTTTTTTTTCCAGAGTGACTTGCATCAAGTGTCTTTTTATTTATTTATTTTTATTTTTTTTTATAAAAAAACAAAAGGAATGTCGGAACTATACCTTCAGAATCAAAGAATTGAATTTCACACATGTTATCTGTGGTGAAAAAGCAACGATTCCACATTGAAATACGGTTAGCAAACATGGGTGACCCCTATTTTAGGGGAAGAATAAGTGACTCGAGTTGCGGATTTTTTGACAAAAGGCACTCGATACATGGGGATATTAATCAATTCGGAAAAAAAATCAAGAATAATGTACATACCTTGCGTGGAGGTTGCAGCTCACAGCTCAGGTTTCTGGAAAAATGAAAAAAAAAATCGTCATTCATGGAATGATAAAGAAAATGTAAAGGAAGGCTGAAGGGGGCATCTGTAGACAAATAGTCAATAATACTATCTTACATTGAAAATTTAGGATTTTTTCTGATTTTTAACGATAAATTATTCCCGATAGGTTATTCCTTGATCATGCTCATCTTTTTTATGCTAATTGAGCTTGTTTGAGCGGAAGTCAATCGTTTGTGTGGCACTTTACGGCTGACCTGCCTACCTGTCCGTACTTTTCTAGATCATTTACTCCCATCAGGTATTCTGAACCAGAGGGATCAATAAAAAAGTTCAAGGACATTTTGGTGCCTTTTTTTCCGGTATGTGAATAATTGCTTGCGGATCGAATTCTTTAGGAAATGGAAAATTCGCACGTGAATATTCAATTTTTTACATGAAAACGGTTGTGCGGGTTTTCGTGCAAAGTCAGTGAATTTCTGCACAGCACGAAGCAAATTCCGAGAGGAAGGAAAATAACCGATTTCAAATGATTCGAGACTGTAGTTCTCCAAAAGACGCAAAGGGAGTTCTTTGGTAATGTGATTTGAATTTTGAATCATGCTCAACGCGTTAACTTTAACATACGTTCTTGCGGGCTAATTCTTGAAATTGATAGACAGAGCAATAGACAGAGAAGACATGGGGAGTATGGAGCGATCCTAATGGTCGAATGGTTGGCTCCACTATTGGAGCCAACCATTTCGATTTTCCCGTTAAATTGGACTGCATTTTGCAATTTAGAACTATAAATTCTGGCCCGGTTTAAAACAACATATGTGCCATTGGTTTCCCTATGCACATAAGTGTTTTTTTCAGATGAGCCAGAATCTATAGTTCCAAATTGCTAAATGCAGTCCAATTGAAACTGCTCTCGCTCGCCCATGAGAAGAAGAGCGGTTTACAGTTCGATTCTTTCAGACCCTCTGCGATCAATCTGACAAGATGGTACCACCGCGCCACCTTGACCCCCCCCCCCCCCCAAACAAAAAAAAAAAACCAACTACGTGAGAGTGGAATTCTAGAACTATGTAATCTCCCTTCTCTTCTCGGAAACGGAAGAAAAAAATAAATTCAAAAACTATAAAAAAATTACCGACTGTTTTTATACCTTATGGCTTCGCCTGATAGCAATTTTGTAGCACTAGAAGGAATTATATTGCCTTCATCAGAAAACTAATCGCTCAGAGAATGTTCAGAAAAATAATCGTTCTAGTTATGAATTAACAATAAGTGGATCGCATGTAATGAGTAGGCGTAGGCTCTTCCATTTATTATGAATGCAGCAAGTCTAAAAGAGATGGTTTGGATTCGAAAAAATGTGACATTCCTAGAAGTGCGACCGTTTAACGTCACTATTTCGTTTACTGATGAACCTGCGACAATAATAATTTTTGGCGTATGCTTCTACCGTTTCATTCGCGAGGGGGGCTTTGCCTTAATTCTGATCACATTCAGTCGTGAAAGTTTCGCGGAAAAAAGTTTCGACGGCAAATATTAATTTTTTGGTTTAAGTTAAATTAATATTTGCCGTCAAAACTTTTTTCCGCGAAACTTTCTCGACTGAATGTGATCAGAATTAACGCAAAGCCCCCTTCGCGAATGAAACGGTAAAAGCATACGCCAAAAATTATTATCGTCGCAGCTTCGCGAAGCTCCCTGGCGCCCCATAAAAGCGACTTATACACACATACAAGCTTTACGCTTACGCCTACGCTTTGAACGCCTTCAAATCTGGTGATACCTCCCGCTTTTCCGGGAAGTTAGTTTAGTTGCGTGACCCAAGCGAACGCTTTGAACGCCTACGAATCTGGCGATACTATTCTCGCTTCTCCGGGAAGTTAGTTTAGTTGCGTGACCCAAGCGAACGCTTTGAACGCCTTCAAATCTGGCGATACTTCTCGCTTCTCCGGGAAGTTAGTTTAGTTGCGTGACCCAAGCGAACGCTTTGAACGCCTTCAAATCTGGCGATACTTCTCGCTTCTCCGGGAAGTTAGTTTAGTTGCGTGACCCAACCGAACGCTTAGAACGCCTTCAAATCTGGCGATACCTCCCGCTTTGCCGGGAAGTTAGTTTAGTTGCGTGACCCAACCAAACGCTTTGAACGCCTTCAAATCTGACGATACTTCTCGCTTCTCCGGGAGGTTAGTTTAGTTGCGTGACCCAACTATGCCCTACATATCAACAATTAAGATCCAAAATTGTCCCTCCACTTTCTGATCTCCATACTATGCTTTCAAAGTATTTTCGTGAAATCCCTCTCCTTTTCAAACGAATTAATCTCCAAACTTAATGTATCCTTTCCCTGTCCCAACTTTTAATTTTGTACTACCTTTTTGTGACCCCTACCTTTTAAATTTTTAAGTTCTGTACTATACTATTTTGATCTCTCCTCTAAGGTCTTAATGGCTAAATTGTTAAAAGCACCAAATAAACGTATCTACCAACCAACCAACCAACCATACATACATACATGAATGCTGCTTCAATGACCAAAGAGTGCCTAATATACGCTTTCAGAAACGGAAAAAGGTAACGAATGACACATTTACGGAGAATTATGTTTTTCACCGAAGAACTCTACATATGAATAATCCTTTGGGCGACTGGTCGAAAAAGTACAGAAAACCCATGCCCCTTTCCATTTACACTGCGCGACCATCTGGGTTGCGAGACTTTGATACTTTCCCCAACCATTGTTGGAATCCTGTGAGATCTATGCTTTCATGTATGTATGTATGATTGGTTGGTTGGTTGGTTGGTTGGTTGGTTGGTTGGTTGGTTGGTTGGTTGGTTGGTTGGTAGATACGTTTATTTGGTGCTTTTAACAATTGAGCCATTAACACCTCAGAGGAGTATGGTTGGTTGGTTGGTAGACATGTTTATTTGGTGCTTTTAACAATTTAGCCATTAAGACCTTAGAGGAGAGATCAAAATAGTATAGTACAGAACTTAAAAATTTAAAAGGTAGGGGTCACAAAAAGGTAGTACAAAATTAGAAGTTGGGACAGGGAAAGAATATATTAAGTTTGGAGTTTAATTCGTTTGAAAAGGAGAGGGATTTCACGAAAATACTTTGAAAGCATAGTGTGGAGATCAGAAAGTGGAGGGACAATTTTGGATCTTAATTGTTGATATGTAGGGCATAGTTGGGTCACGCAACTAAACTAACCTCCCGGAGAAGCGAGAAGTATCGTCAGATTTGAAGGCGTTCAAAGCGTTTGTTTGGGTCACACAACTAAACTAACCTCCCAGAGAGCCAAGAAGTATCGCCAGATTTGAAGGCGTTTACTTTATATTGCGAAGAAAATTCTCTGAAAACTTGGGGGGAAAAATATTTATGAATGTCCCCAAGAAATTGCGAATTTATCAAAGGAAATTTGGCAACGGCTGAGAGATCATACTGCGTTTTCACTTAGCACAGCAGTGCAGGGGCTTAATGGATGTTTACCAAGGATGTGAAAATTTAAACACAAGAATGAAAAGACTAAGAGATACGTACCAGGAAAGTGTTATTCAACTGCCCGACGCCAAGCTGAAAGCACTCGCAACACGATCACTGAGACCGCAGTACGCACTAAAACACTAAAAGAATAGGCACGGGCACGTAATAGTTGGATAGGGACTAAATATTTGAAATAATTTTACGTTAACCAGGAAATGGATTATATATATGACAACGTGCTTAGCTTGCTTAAATTCTGCCCAAATAAGGTGTTTACAAGTTACAACATCATTTGTAGCGATAAAATGCAAACAAGATCAAGAAAAATTATGAAAGTAAAATTAAAGACGAAAATGATGACCAAAGATTATTTTGAAATAAAAAATACAACCGGGAACAATTTTTTTTCTGGCAATTCAAGAAACGAAAAAAAGACCATAAAACCATAATAGCGTGCCTCCTTCAATCGTAATAACGTCCAATTTTGTAGAAAATGCAATAATTTTTCAATTATCAGTTTTGTTCCAATTGATTTGGTTGCTTAGAATCTTAAGAAAAAACATATTTGCAAGGATTTTGTGAACCTGATGTAACATAACTTAATAAATGAACTTGAAACTACGAATATACTTGTGAGTTGCATCAATTCTAATTTGTCATCGTTATTGGCTTGAGAACATTCTGTAGAAAGTGATGTTTTCCTTCAATGACGAACTCGAGTTCGTCATACATGGGTCCAAGACCTTGTAGGCTTTTTAAACATGAGATTCCCTGACTTTTCCATGCCTTTTCGATGAGATTTTGGCACAACTCCTCATGAATACACTTTAAACAAAACAAAAATAACCAGAGGTCTTTTCAGGCTGGAAAAAATCTACAATTCGAGAACACTAGGACAGAAGTTTCGATATAAGTCTACAGTGTTTTCGAGTTCGTAGGTAGAAAATAATGAGTACACGACGTTTCGACTGAAAGACAGAATTTCAAGGTTCTGTAGTAAAAATCCCATTTTACAGATTTTCAAGACTTTCTCAAGAACGGTTTACCCTAGATGCACATTATAACAGGGCTGCCGACACTCTTATTTACGTTTCGTGAATTTTTCACTCTCATCGTTCTAAATTTTACTCATACACTAGAATAAAAGTCTCTTGGATTTTGAGTCCAGCCTCTTGAATAATTTCACAAATAAAAGTACTCTTGAATCAAGTGGATTTTTGCTTGAACCAAAAGGCAAGGCTCTTAATTTAAGAGGATTTCCTTTTGATTCAAGCAAAAATCCGATTGAATCAGAAGTATTTTTTCCTGTAAATTTTTTTAAGAGCCTCGACTCTGGATCCAAGAGATTTTTTTCCAGTATATGCTCCCCAATGTTCTCGATTTTTCTCACTATTACTCACCGGGCTCGATTTTACTAACTCTGTAGGTATTTGGTACTACCGTCCTCAATTTCACTAACTCAGTGCTCATCGTTTCTAGATTTTACTCACCAGTTACTCTCCGTTTATTGCTTTAACTCACTCTTTACTCATCGTTTTCAGTTGTATATACTCACTCTTAACTCCGGTGCATAACGTTTGCGCACATTTTTTTTACTGATAACGTTTGCGCACACTTTTCACGAATATCATTTGCGCACACTTTTTACCGATAACGTTTGCGCACACTGCACTATTTGGCAACGCTGCAATGATGCTATGCGTGTCACCCGAAAACCGGAGTTTGTTTTGATCCGGGCGGTTATAGTATCCCTTCATGATAAGACATTTTCTTGCAATGAAAGTGGAAATTGTAGTGAAATGGAGTTTCTGGAAATGGTTCGTGAAGTTCAATACCCCGACAAAAATGATTCAGACGAAGAAAATAACCCGGAGGCTGTAAATGACTCTTTCAATGCAGACGAGCCTGATGAATCCATTTCTGAAAATGGTGCTGATGAAACTTGCTCTTCAAATGTAACCTGCCCTAAAAACAGCCCTAAAACCCGTCCTTGCACTGAATATGATTCCGGCGAAGACAGTGACAGCATTTTTAGCTGAAGTAACAGCGAAAAATCTGTGAGTAATCATATACCTTATTTTCTTAACTTTCTTCATTTTCTATTTTCTTCTTATTAACTTATTTATTCATTTACTTATTGATTGCTTATTGGAATTTATTTAAACGAAAATTTCCCCCCGTCCGTTTATAAATTATCGGTCCGTTGATTTGTCTTATCACGAAGCGATACTACTGACGCATCATTGAAGCGTTGCCAAATAGTGCAGTGTGCGCAAACGTTATCGGTAAAAAGTGTGCGCAAATGATATTCATGAAAAGCGTGCGCAAACGTTATCGGTAAGAGAAGTGTGCGCAAACGTTATGCAGCCCTTAACTCATCGTTCTCAATTTTTTTCACTTTTTACTCATCGTTCTCAATTTTATTGACTCTTTTCTCATCGTTCTCAATTTTATTCACTCTTTACTCATCGTTCTCAATTTTATTCACTCTTTACTCACTCTTTACTCACCGTCTTCGATCTCACTAACTCGGTACTCATTGTTTCTAAATTTTACTCACCAATTACTCTCCGTTAATTGCTTTTACTCACTCTTTACTCGTCGTTCTCAGTTGTATACTCACTCTGTACTTTCGTTCTCAATTTTACTCACTCTTTACTCACCCCCCATAATTACACTCTCTGATCACAAATACAAATCCCGCCAAATATGAACTAATTAAGGATCATTCCTCATTTCATTGATCGCTTCGACTCCACTCGAGACTACTGGAAAGTTACTCACGGATTGTCGGATTACCCGCGAATTACTCATTCTACTCACGTTTTACTGATTGGTGCTCAAATTACTCGCCGTTAGAGTTTTACTACTGAATCGGCAGCCCTGATGATCTTTAACAAAACGATTTATTTTAAAACCTCATTAGAAAGAGAGAGAAAGGGGCGAAATAGTTAATTATTGCAATAGCAGCTTCATCTCTGTTTTAACTGGCAGCTACGCCCCTTCAAAAACTGGAGCGAAACTGAGCAAAGCGGAGCGCTGGTTTTTTCCTATTTTTTCGGAGGTGGCTATTATCGCTTTTGCTATTGCTTCTTTCAACTTCTTTTCAGTTGCTGCTTTTGCTTGTCCTTCTTTCACTTCTACTAATTTTTCTGACCCTCTTTCTGCTGCTGAAGTTACTGCCTCTTCCCTGCATGGATTGAACCTTTAAGTCGATGGTTATTTCTGGATTTTCTGAGACTGCTGCTGTAGTTGCTAATTCCTTGGCTGGTTCTTCTTCGTCTGCTGCTGGCTGCTATCTACTCGTTCCGTCAAACTGCTACTGACGTTGTTGCTGTTGCTGCCTATGGGTGAAAGAACCACAAGAAACTGAAGACACGGCTTTTCAGTGAAAATTTCATGCGGTTCTTGAGTCAGTGAGGGCGAGGGATAAAACTCTCATGGGTGGTTTCACGATAACTGGAATAGTTTTGTCGCCGTAACAGACAACACGTTTTTCGGTCATGCTTTAGTAGTAGTTATAATCAATCGAATTTTTTGGCATTAATCCACATAGGGTTACGTGTTATAACGCTTTCGAACGATTTATCGCTCTACTTTTTAATTTTAATTTATAAATGACCGAAAAAGTGCTGTCCGTTACGCGGGAAAAAGTCAGCGTAACAGACAGCACATTTTCGGCCATTTATATACTAAAATTGAAAAGTAGAGCGATAAATCGTTCAAAAGCGTTATAACACGTAACCCTGTGTGGATTAATGCAAAATAATTCGAGTGATTATTATTACTACTAAAAACATGACCGAAAAACGTGTTGTCTTTTACGGCGAAAAAACTATTCCAGTTAATGTGAAACCACCCTCATGCACTAACAGACCACTACGCTCATGAAACCCACCTAACCAAATGAGTCAATCAGTCAAACAGGCAATCACACTAGAAAAAAAAAAAAAAAAAACACATTGGATCTAGAATCTAGACTCTTAAAAACATCGACAAGAAAAAATACTCCTGATTCAATCAGATTTAAGCTTCAATCAAGAACAAAGCCTCTTAATTTGAGCGGATTTCCTTTTGATTTAAGCTTAAATCTGATAGAATCAAGAGTCCTTTTTCTCGTCAATGTTTTCAAGAGTCTGGACTCTAGATCCAATGTGTTTTTATTCCAGGGCAGTCAAACAGTCAATCAGTCAACCAGTCTACCAGTCAATCAGTCTACCAGTCAATCAGTCAATCAGTCAAACAGTCAAACAGTCAAACAGTCAAACAGTCAAACAGTCGATCAGTCAAACACAGTAAGAAAACAAAAAAAGAGAAAAAAAGAAATGAAAGAAAGAAAGGAAGAAAGTAAGGAAGGAAGGAAAGGAAAGGTAGGAAGGAAAGGAAGGAAGGAAATGTAGGAAGGAAAGGAAGGAGAGGAAGGAAAGGAAGGAAAGGAAGGAAAGGAAGGAGAGGAAGGAGAGGAAGGAGAGGAAGGAAAGAAAGAGAGAGAGGCTGGTAACCATGTCCCAGCCTGGGCATCGGGAGCCAATCCCAAGGTCACCGACCAAGGGTACAAAGAGCACCTCCAAGGTGCTCGCAACCATCCACCGGGACCGCACGTGCGGCCGGGGCGGTGTCCGCAGATCGCTCCTCTAGCGCCTCCAGACGGCACGACATCCGCCGACTGGGTGGACGACCGCGCGCCGGGCGCCCCGACGAGTGCTCGGTCGGATGACAGCGCCTCCAACTCAACTTCACTTTCAGGCCGAGACTAAAGGCCTCAGCCTGAAAGTGAAGCTGATACGGAAGCACTATCATCACGGTAGAGCAGTCGACGGAGTGTCCAGCGGGTGTCCACCCACTCGTCGGACGTCGGACCCGACTTCCGCCGACCGGGCGGACGACCGCGCGCCGGACGCTCCGACGAGTGCTCGGTCGGATGACAGCGCCTCCGACTCGACTTCACTTTCAGGCCGAGGCTAAAGGCCTCAGCCTGAGAGTGAAGCTGATACGGAAGCACTATCATCACGGTAGAGCAGTCGACGGAGCGTCCAGCGGGTGTCCACCCGATCGTCGGACGTCGGACCGTGTCCCGACATCCGCCGACCGGGCGGACGACCGCACGCCGGACGCTCCGACGAGTGCTCGGTCGGATGACAGCGCCTCCGACTCAACTTCACTTTCAGACCGAGGCTAAAGGCCTCAGCCTGAAAGTGAAGCTGATACGGAGGCACTGTCATCACGGTAGAGCAGTCGACGGAGCGTC